GTGAGGGCAGGAAATTAGCAGTAATGCTCATAGGAAATAAAAAGACTTCACAGCAAGATTTAAAAAAACCCATGATAAGTATTATTTTTTCTTGGCCAAACCGACTGCCAGGGCGACTATAGCAGAAATTCCGACCACCGTAGCTCCAGCAGCCAAGGCGAGCCCAACCATACCATCTAAAGAAATAGTATAGATAAAATAGTCATTTGTATAGTCGTATCACCTAGTGTAGTCAGAGGCTCATTGTCCATTACTGAAGTATATGAGAAACAATAAGTATTAAGTTGAAAAAAACTATTTTAAAGACCTCCATAAATAGTTCGATTCAAATGGAAACAACGCTTAAAAATCGCCTCTAATCTTTATATTAAGGTGCATAACAGAGCCATTAGGGAAGTTAATTTGAGGACTACAAAGCCTAAGAAATTAAATAAAATCGAAAACGAATAGAGCTAAAAAAGCGATGATACGCTTTGAGAAACTAGCAAAAGTACTGCAACAGACCTATTTAAATTAATCAAAGCAAGGCAGTTAAGGTGAAAAAATTGGTTAGGCCTAAAGTGCATTTTTTTGTCAATTGAATGTTTCCATAGCAAGAATTACATCGTCTCTACCGTTAGGATAAGCAGGCAACAAATGCATCCTTTGTCGAAGTAGTGATAGATATTTAAAGCGGATTACACATGTAAATAAGAGTGATAAAAAGTAAACTTGAGAAATAAGAAAAATAATGTTAATGCCATAGGACAAGAAATGAAGCCTATGTATGCGCATCAATAAAAAGCAATGCTACAAAGTTAAAAACTAAACGACGATTAAAAGCATTTATAAAAACATAATTATTATAGTAGATGAGACATTTCTAAATGCTTCACTTTTAATAATTTTGGCAAATATAGAAATTACAACTTTGTATCAGTTAAGAGTTACAAACCTCTGTCACGTCTTTTTTCGATTTCTTTTTTAAGCTTAAGAGCTTGATGGTTATTGGGTTGAACAGCCAGAACATTATCACAGCATTTTAAAGCTTTCTCATTCTCCTTAGTAATAAAAAACAAGTAAAGTTACTCTAATTTTTGTATACGCGACCGCCATGAAAAACATACTGTCCTTTTTTATTTCATTATCCTTTGTTTTGCTTATAAGATCTTATAAAATAGGAATTGGTTTAGCTATTACCTTCAAACAGCTTAATAGAAAGTTCTAGGGCATCTTTCAAATCAGTTTTTAGAAGATCGATCGCATACTTAAACTGGGAGTCATCATTACACACATTTTTGTTACGATCTAACAAAAATAGTTCTCTAGATTCCTTAAAAATATTAAGCGAGTATCATACTTTAACGACAGCAATGGGCTCATTAGAATAGATTAGATCCATCGCGGTTTACAAAGAGTACAAGAAGCTTTAAAACACAATAAAACAAAGTCATAATATTAACTGCATTATTTAATATAAATATTTAAAATTGTTTTTAAATAGTTTATTCAAAAATAACGACATAATACAATTTAGGATATTAAGCCTAAATAATATCATAAAGT